TCATTTAATAAATTTTTAGTCATATTATTTAAAATTTTTTGTTCTTATTTAGGCAACTATTTTTATAGTTTTTGGCAACTATTTTCATTCTTAAGGCTACTAAAAGCAACTATGTATTTTGTTCTCTATTTTTCTGGGGCAACCCTGATTACATTTTCGAGAAAAAAGAATGTTTTGTAGAAATTTATAGAAGCTTTAAATAACAGTAATGTAATAATAATTCTTTTTTATTTCAGGTGAATTTATGAGCCATACATATAATTATGAAGGTGTGAAGGATTTTACATATAATTATGAAGGTGTTCCCCTAAATTTAGCTGTCGTTCATTTAGGTGTGCTAGTTTTTCAAAATTTAACAAAATCAATACATTTTCATGGGCTAAAATAAGAGAATTAAGTTTTAAGAGGAAAAAATTTCTTGTTAAGCTTCATCCTGAAGGTTATGTAAGTATTTTTTTTTCTTCTTGTAATTATTACATTGATTCAAGTATTTTTTTAAACTGATATTTTTTACTTTAAATCTTTAAAAATCTGATAGGAGCTTTGTATTTATGATGGTTAGTATTATATATTTAAAAAAAAATGTAGATTGCTTGAGACATTTGATATTATACTCTATTGTATCTGAGATTTTTTTTAAAATTTCTATTATGATATGTCTATTTTTAACTTCTTCTATAACTGATCTGCTACTTGGGAAAATTTGCACAAAAACTTTATAATCAAACATAGATTTTCCATTGAATGATTTTTTGTTTTTTGATTTAAAGAAACTACTTTTCCAAAAATCAGAATAGATTGATTGATTTTTAAAAATATTATATGTAAAATCTAAGTCACACTTTTTTTCAATTGTTATTGTTACTGAAAATTAAGGTGTGGTTTAGAATCAATGGCTCATAAATTTCTTTGTTGAAAATTGCAGAATGGAAATCTATTATGCCTAAAAAAGTTTACATTAGACTATAATATATTCTTTTTAAAGCTGTTGCGTAACAATTGCATTGGAGGGCATAATGATAGAAAATGGCGACGCTGACACCTGTTCAAAAGTCATTTGTGACTGATAGAATGCTTGATTTGCTATGATTAAATCGCATGACACGGATTTTAATATATGGATGCAAATTTAGAATCCTGCAGAATAGCCACTTTTTTAGATTATTGTTATTGATTTCCCCTTAGTTTTTAAAAGCCTAATATTTTTAATACTAAATTATTACAACATGCGAATTAAACATAGCTTAATTACTTTAATAAATTTTATTAAAGATGATTTCACCATAAATAAGTGTTCCCTTAACTATGATAAATTTTTCTCAGCTGTATTAGCTACAGATTTTTTAAAATCCTGTAAATAGTGCTAAAGTATTAAAATACACACAGGGTTACCACAGACTACTAAAATGCGACTATTTGCTACTATTCTCGGCCTTAGGTGACTATGGCGACTTTTTTTGCCTGAAAAGGCTAAAAAAGCAACTATTTTCAGGAATAGGCGACTATTGGGAGACTTTTTAACTCTTAGCAAAGTTTTTTTCGCAAAAATGAATGTTACTTTCCAGTCCCCTCACTAACACGTACTTATTGCCGCCTACCATGCAGTTAAGACAAATAATTTTTTAAAAAATTAAATAAAGAGTTTAGTAATGTTTTGATACTTTTTAATAATTTAACATTAGTACTTAAAGTATTTGTTTTAAAAATTTTTATTAAAATTCTTTCAATACTTGTTTGTTTTATAATTTTTTAGATAGTCAGTATCATTTTTAAATAAATAAATATTTTGTCGATTTTATTTTCAGAAAAGAAAATCATAAAGAAAAAATATTTTTACATTTATTAAGTACAGAATTTGGCCATTAGTCAATACTACTTTTTATTATTTTAAATAATTAAATAACAGAGGGTCTAATGATGTTTCAAAAGCATGATTTTTTTTCAACAAATAATTTTAAAAAAATATTTTTTTTTCTAAAGTGAACATTTCTTTGGTTTGTTTTCTACTTTCAGTTTTTTCTTTTAATTTTTAATTTATTTATGTAAAATATTTTGTTACAGTATTATTATTTTTAAACCAGTAAATTTTAAATAATTTTTAATTTAAGAATAATGAAATAAAACTTGGGTTTGCTTTTACTTTGACTTCTTTATTATTTTAATTGAAAATATTAAGCAATGATATTGTTGTCATAGTGAAATTTGTTTAGAATTAGTATTTTCTTTTGTAATAGATTTATTTCTTTTTCATTGATTTAAAGATTTGCCATAGGTAATTTTTGAACATATGCTAAATTGCGATACATCGCTATATCGCAATGTATCACGATTTAAAATTTCTGACATAACCCAGTGTTAATCATAGCATATGACAAATAAGCTATAATTTTAGTTAGTTGGCTACTACTTTTTAATAAATTTTTGACCCTGTTCAGGCAACTATTTTCGTAGTTTTAGGCAACTATTTTCCTATAAGCAACTATTTTTGTTCCTTTTTTGCTGTGGCAACCCTGTACACACAATTTGGTACACACTGAATTCGCCACAATTTCAATGTCCGACTGTTTCATGAATATGTTGATTGCTTTTTTCAAAATTTGTGGTGATCTATTTTCGCATGAACTTTAAAATGTATTTTTTTAACATGATGGCACATGAAATCCAGTTTGTCTCTAATTTGAAATTATTTTAAATTGTTTTTTTCTTATTATGAGTTTTAAAAAGTCCAGATTTTTTAGGCTATATGCTACATAATATTTTCTGCGTGTATTTTTCATACATGTTTTAAATAAATTCATATTGTGATACTCAATGCTATCTAGGAGAATGTGATGCCACATAGGCATTACATATTTCCTAGCTTTTAAAATTTCTTTAATTTCTTAAACTTATTTTTTGAATTAATCAAATTTTAATTAAATTAAACCAGTTATTTAATTTTTGTTACATTATATATAAAGCGAATATAAAATATTTTATTCTTTTCTTAACAATCAATGAAAAAGGCTAAATTTATTTCAATACTAATGTAAGACTCATTAATTCACTGTCACGACTAAATCAGAAACCTATTTATAGCTCTGTATTTCTTACCCCAAAAATGTTGCAGTCATACTAATTCTCTTTTTTAAGCCAAATTATTTTCAAATTTAATATTGATCATGGGGAATTGTCTTTATTTTTAGCTACGTTATCTTTTGATAAATTGCCAACCATGAATCTCTTCCCATGCTCCTAACTGTCCATTGAGAACAATTACTTTATTTTTAATTTTGAATTATTGGGGATTGAACTGGAGGCATCAGCGTCCGAGTTCCAACAGCTGAATGTCTATGTTAACAGAAATTCTAGATGTTAAGAGAAGGATTTTTTTTATACCTTTAAGGAACTTCTTGTCTTTATTTTTATAATTTTGCTTTGTATCAATTTAAGTTTTACCTAATAAATTAATTTTTTCTGAATGATTTTACTCCTTTTTCTGGGATAAAAATCCCTACATCATATTCAAAGTAAGATGCATTTGAAACGGCCATAATACAGGGTTATTCATAATTCCCTCCGGGAAGGAACTGGACTATCGCATTGATGTATGCCGTGTGACCAAGGGTTCACACATAGAACACCTGTAATGTATGTAAGTAAAACTTGAATAGTTTCGGAATAATTTAATATGTTTCTTTTTTTCATATTCGCCTTCTTTTTTTTTACTATAACGCTTCGAAACCCCGTAGAGAATTATGAATAATCCTGTACTTCAATCCTGCAAAGAAACTGCATCCCATTAACAACTATGGTCCAAATTTGCTACTATAGTGACCAATGGCATTTCTTTCTCTCTATTTTTCATCTTAAAAAAATTATTTAAAAAAACAACAACTTACATTTATTATAAGAAACGTACAATTATATCTTGCTTTAAGCAAATTAAAATAATTTATATACGTGAAGCTCTTCTTCACTGTTAAGGATTAACAAAATTTAAAATAGGTATTGAGGTCAATTTTTTCATATACTTCTAGGGTTTTTATAAAGATACTGTGGAGTTTGTTTTTGATAGCCGAAATGAATGTAAAAATTTTTGGAAAAAGTGCATTGAAAATCACGCATTTTTTCGATGTTCCGATGCAAAGCAAGGAATGCGTATGAAACCCAAAATTTTCGGCAGAGGATCATCCTTCAGGTATGAAATGTTCTTTGTCTCTGAGAAATTGTGTTTGCATGACTCATCAAGTACACAAATTTCTTTATTCTAAAGAGCATGAATCAAGCTCAAATACAGGTACAAATAGGTACAACAGGTACATAACAAGGAGACCAGGGAAAACCTGGAAAATTCAGGGAATTTAAAAATCATCAAAATTAACAGGGAAAATGCAGGGAATATTGAGTTTTTTTTCTTTTTTTTAAAAACTGGAAAAATACAGGGGATTTTGTTATTTATTTTTGTCTTTTAAAAAAATGGTGACCACTCCAAGGGCAATCTATGGGATATTTAAGGAAGATATTTTAGCTGTACTAGACTATTTTATTTACTATAGCATTATTTAAGTATGTTCAATAGTTTTTTTTTTACTGTAAATTTTTCCAGCAATTAAAACAAGTATTCTTACTCCAATATAGCTCATACAAGAACACAGTAATTCTTTCCTCTTAACAGGGAAAACACAGGGAATTTTTTACCAAATTTGAGTGGCAACCCTGTATAAGCAAGAACCTTTATTAGTATTGGCTAAACCATACATTTTGTGTTCAGACACTGAGGAAGGTTCTTGTTTGTAGAATTAAAACTATAATATACTCATTTCTGCACCTATATTTGGGCTTTATTATACGCAGCACAAAGTATGCTCTATCCTCTTTTGGATTACCTTATTGTTTATACCCATATATAGTATGCTTATTTCTATTCTATATTTGGGTTCTGGATATTTAAGGATGATATTCCAACTATTTCATTTACTATAGCAAAGTATGTTCAGATGTTCCTTTCTTTCTCTAATTTTTTCCAGAAATAAAATCTAGTATAGTTAGTTCAATACAACTCTCACAAGAGCACAGTAATTGTGTTCTTAATATATTGTGTATAATGTGTACAGGGAATTTTTTTCCAGATTTGAGTTTCAACCCTGATTTAGTTACTTTAAGTTGTAGCGTGTACCGGGCAAATGTATACTGGGATAGCTCAAAGAAACTTATTATTAATTGACTACAAATAATTTAATTTTAAGATGTTCATTTATACTAAAATAAATTGAGTGTTGACATATTCTCAGCTATTAACTAATAAAACTTTGTTTATGCTTTATTAATAAATTAAAAGTGATATAAACATTTCATTTTTGAATAATTACTAGGGTGTTTAAATTTTCAAACTACAATTATAGAAATTTTGTCTATTTTTTAAAAAATAAAATAAGTACAGAAAAACAAGAACTAAAAATATAACCATGCATGCACAACCAAATTTAATGTAATGAACAAATCATTTTGTTACACAATGCAAATGTTGCATACAAATATTTTTTTATTTCCTTAAAAGGTTAATACATCCATAGTTCTAGAAATTCTTTGTTTGAGGCAATTTATGATCCTAAATCAAACAAAGAATTGATTCCTTAGTTCTTGGTTATTCTGTATTTTCTTGAATTTTTATTTATTTATTCCTTGATTGTTTTATTTTGCATTTTTTGCTTCATTTTAAATTTTTTGCTTAAGTTTTGTATTCGTTCCAATTTTTTAGTGTTCTCACTCTATTGTATTGATATATTTTGCTTTGACTATATTAATACAATATTAGAAAGTACCATTTTTTTTTAGGATATGATCGTGTGAGCTGATGACAAGTTTATATCTTTTCCTTATTTCATTTCCCCCCTTTTTTTTTAATTAAAAACTTTTTTAATTTAAATTTTATTTTCGAATTTGAAAAAATGTTTTAAAAAAATTTTTAATAATTTTTTTCTTCTCCTTTAAAAAATCTTTATATCTTTTGTCATGTTTTCTCTACATTTTTAAAATTTTATTTCATTTTACTGATCAAAGCTTGCTTATTAATTTTATGCACTTATTTAACCATGCTAATGAATCTAAAAATGCCTGTTTTTAATTATGAGGAGAAGTTAGCTAACAAATTGAGAAGTCAAAAGATAAGCACAAAATAAAAATAACTAACATATTTTCTTTTGTTAATTTATCGCTTTCATTTTTTTTTTTTTTTTGCTCCAAAAAGTGCTCTGTCTTGACTTTGATTGGCCTCTGATGTATATATTGTAGTCTTGAGTACTTTCTGCTTTAGGAAGAACATTACAAGCTACATCTAGTATTTATGCTAATTCTCCCAGAATTTTTAATATTTCAAAAATTTGCTTAATTTTAGAGCCATTTGCCTTTAACTTAGCTTATAACCTGAAACTGATTTCTCAAAAATATAAACTGAAAATTATGTAACTACTGACAAATTTTTTAAAAATGTTTACTGATATTATTTAAAGTTTAATGACATAAGAACCGGACATATTTATTTTAATTAATAAAAAATTAGTTTATAAAAATTTCAATTTTCAAGAAATACAATGGAATATATTTTATTTACTGAAAATCATATTATTAAAGTTTAAGCGTTCAAGTATAAAAAAATGTCTAATATACTTATCTTTTAGGAATAGTGGATGGACACAAAAACAAGAATCTGAATTTGTTAGACAGAATAATTTCCAAACAACACAATTTCAAAGGTAAGTAGAATTTACTTATATTAAAAGCAATCAATAGGTCGTATATTTTTGATCTGTCGCATTATTATTTAGCTGATTTGTTAATGATTTTCCACTAACTTTGCTATGAAATTATGAAAGTTTAGAAGTAACAGTAACCAGTTACGTAGGCATAAGCACGGGGTCGTTTTTAGAGTTTGCCGTTGTTGGGAGGTTGTTGTTAATGTAAGTATGACTGTATAAATATACTAAACGGCGATGCTTTGCAAGATCTAGCATATTAAATAAACACTCACTGTTTCATTTCAAAATGTGAAATACAGTTCCTTATTTTATTCTAAACGATGTAGAAATGTAAAAAACTTCAAATGAACGAAAATTTGTGCTGCAATCGATTCTCAATCTGCCTAAGTTCTATCCTCATACAATAACTGAATAACTCTATTTGTAACGGAAGTCAATTTGAACTCTTTTTTTTATCAGACTATTCCCTAAACTGCAGAACCAGTAATTGATGCTAAAAGATGGTTTTATGGTTCAGTTTTTTGATTTTCAGCCTCATGTTTTGCTTAAATTCAGTTTTTTATGTTTCTTTTTTTACCAAAAAATCTAATAAGGAAAAGTAAATGGGCTAGTGAAAATGTGTATGAACTAGTAATATCTTTTAATCACTGATCTGATGTCCACTGATTTAATTTCCTAATTTCTACTCCTATGTGTAGTTTTTTTCATACAGGGTATCCGCACACCTGGAAAGTCATGGAAATTCATGAATTTTGGTATTGAACAAAATTTGCCATGAAATGTCATGATTTTAACTACTTTTTTTAAAAAAAATTATGGGAAGTCATGGATTTAGGTCACTGAAAAATCTAATTTTTAAAATGGATTTTACCCCCCGCCCCCCCCAATTTCATGGTGTTCCAAATATCTGAATTTGTAACAAAATCTCCACTCATAGTCATGTTTTATAAAAATATAAACTNAAATGCCAAATTTTAGATTCTTCTTTTTAGCTCTTGAATTTATTAATAGTTCCAAGCTTTTTTGTTTGTTTGCTTGTTTATTTCTAACAATTAAGAAGTGCAAAATTTTGAATCATTTGCAAATCAAGCTATAATGATAAAAGTAAGTATCACTATTTTCAATAAGTATATTACAATATTACTGTATGAATGTATATCCTTCTATAAGAATGCATGTATATAGTTGCAAAATCGATAGCAATCATTTAAAACATTCATTTATAAAGGCAATTATGTGAAAATAATATATTGTCCGCTATATGCCATAAATTTAAGAAAACAGTAGGTTTTTGAAAAACACAGTTTTCACCACTGTCATGTCAAAAACCAGTTTTTGACGGCAAAAACCAAACCCTGAAATATCATGATTTTAACTACTTTTTTTTTAAAAAAATTATGGGAAGTCATGGATTTAGGTCACTGAAAAATCTAATTTTTAAAATGGATTTTACCCCACCACCCAATTTCATGGTGTTCCAAATATCTGAATTTGTAACAAAATCTCCACTCATAGTCATGTTTTATAAAAATATAAACTGTTTTTATCATGTTTTTTAAAAATTATGGTGTTCTTTAAAAAAATGAAAGTAAAAACACTGTTTCTAGAGCAAGTTATCTTTTTAACTTCTGTGATTTCAGAATTTTTATTATTTTTTATTTTTATTTTATCAATTTAAAATTCTAGCTGAAGCAAGCCAGTCATTTTTTTTTTAATTCTGAAATGAGAACTGAAGAATCAGGAGTATTTCTTTCCTTTCCGATGAACAAGAAAAGTATCTTTAGAATATAATCCTGCAGAAAAAAAGGGAAATTTTTTTATTTGTTTTCATATTTTTTTGAGCTATTTTATTGCTTCAACTCTTTCTTTACTCTGTTTTTTAAATTTAAAATCTATAAATATGAAGATGCAGAGTATAACAGTTTTGGTTATACCTTTCATTTCAATTAATGTTGTTATAATGTTTTGTTTTTTTTTTTTAAATTTGGTTTGCGTTGTTTTTGTATAACTTTGTTAAGTCATGAAAAGTTCTTGGAATTAGACATAGTTAAGTCATGAAAAGCCATGGATTTGAAAATCTAAAACGTAGCAGATACCCTGTGCATAATTTCATTTGATATTTGTTAAATTTTTTACATTGAAATGTTCTATTGAATCCAGCAATTCTTAAGCTATCAACTGCTTAAATACTATCAAATGAGTAGATAATATCATGTTTTATTGAATTTTTAAATTCAGTACAATTTATTTGATATAATTTTATAAAAACCTGGACATTTTTAAAGGATATCGAAAAAAGAAAAAAAATTAAGCTGGAAGAAATTTTTTTCTGTGCACATATTTTAAATTACACTTTTTTTTTTGTTTAAAACTTATTTTATGTTTAAAATCATTTATATTGCATTGACCTTCACCATTAGTTTGTTAAATTAATAGAAACATATTTTATCTTTACAAATTTTTATATGTGAATTTTCGAATTGCTCAAGGCTATCATTTAATTACAAATCTATCATTTTGTTTTAAGTATCTTACGCTTTTTATAGTTTCAGTTGAAAAGTTATTTTACTTAAACTGTATTTGATTTTTAAACTAGTATTAGTTGCCACTGAGCTCACACCAGTGCAAGCTGAAGCTGTTCCTTTTCCTTCGGTTGAAGGACAGCGATGTGTTCCTCGCTCCTATATGGTCGTTTTTGTGACTGGATGACTTCTCAATTTTCTGAATTAGTTGAAGACTTTTCTGAGCCTGTTGTTGTTGATGATGATAGCGCTGAAGATGATTCTGAAGGAGATCCTTTGACAGTTCGAAAGTGAGCGCTATTTCCTTATTGTCGTCTATTTATAACAGTTGTATATTCATTTTAGTTATTCAAGAAATTTTATGGGCTTAGAGAAAAATATTTTAAGCATAAGAAACTTATTATTTTTTAAAATGCACCATTAAGATAATCATTTTGATATTGATACGGTTAGGGTGTTCCTTTTTTTCTCTTAGGATTCATTAGTAGTATTTTTCTCAGTGGAACCTGGGGAACATTTTCTTGGTGTACAAAGTTTTGTATTCATCAGCCAAGGTTTATACTTAAAGGGAAAAAAATGTACTTCATCATTTATTTTATTTCTTCTGCAGTTTACAATTCTATTAAAATTTCCTTATATTAAAATTTCCTAAGTATATTTCCTTCTATTTAATCACAATGCTAACCAGTTATGTAGATGTGCAAAATCTTTTTTTAATAAAAAATTGCTACATTGCAAAGTAAAATTTTCAGTCATTTGTAGGGAATTTCTGCTTTTTCCTCAGATGCAATTGAGTACAACACTACAAAGTAAGATTTTCAGTTATTTATAGGGAATTTCTTTTTTCTTCTCAGATGCAATTGCAATTCTTTTTTAATTGCGATATCTTCCATTTTTGGAATGTCTTAAATAATAATCATGAATTAGTTTTATTAAAAAAGGCACATAATTACTTATTACCTAAAATCAGAGTAGTATATGGGAGGGGGACTAAAGGACACATCTAAACTCCTTATTTACAAGCATTTTAAGCCCTTTTTGACAATTTTAACATCGAAAAATGACATAAAATCTGAAACAGGACATAAAATATGAAAAACTCTTATTTTAGGTCGAAAAACACTAAAAACAACTTTGAGTACCTTTGAAATAAAAAGTATGAAAATGAGCCATTCTGTCATATTACTTTGACAAAGTTGTTTTCGATATGTGAATAAACTCCAATGTTTAAGTTTTTTTAAAAAGGAAAAAAAAAAATGCGTCCCTCATGATGGAGACACTGATTTTAAAAATATAGAAAATAAAAAGTAAGGAAAATTTACGCTTTTTCTAATTCATAATCAGAAATTTTGTTAGTTATCCAACCTTTGAAATTAAATATATAAATACCTTTGTTAATTTTCTTCATGCTTTTATGAGATAATTCTCCTGAACTTTTACTCAGAAAATATTCTTTTTCATTATCTAGTTTTGCAATGACTGTTTCTCCGTATTTTGTATCTATTTTTCTTAGAGATATTAACTTATATTTACCTACTTCTAAATCTCTTAAACTATAAATATCTGTACGCTTCTTAAGACTGTTGAATTCTTCCATTTATTACATTTCATTTTTATAAAGACTTTCTAAAGATTATTTTTTTTAATATATTTATTTATAATTTCATAAGATGCTTCATTCACAATTTCTATAGCTTTCTCTTTTATTTCATCATTTTTGATTTTATTTACTAAATCTTCTAATATATCAATATAGGTCATGATCAAATCATCAATTCCAAATCTATCGTGTGTTTCATTAATTTTCATTAAATCACATATCAAACATACTAAATCATATATTTCTTCATTGGTTTCCAAGTACTTTAATTCTTCTATTTATTAATAGCCGTTTTTTGAAATACAATTCTTATAGTATATGCATTTACGTAATTAACCTCCAGGACCTAAAATTTTTGCCGTTTTGATACTTCAATATCTAAATCTTTGGATGGTATATTTAATTCTTGTAGTATCTCTTTTTCCATAATTCCTCCTTTATATGCAAACATACCACCATATAAATCATAAAGATTTTGAATATTTAATTTTACATCATTATTACTAATCCAGAGCTCTTTGTTATTTGGAGTCCTTTTAAATCTTAGACCATGTATCTCTGTAGCACATTTGCGTACTATACTCAGTTCTTGGTCATCTAGTTCACAGTCCGGTGCAAATACATTAATTGTTTCACTAAAGGGCATTTTCGTTTGTACCCACCCTATTTCTCGTGCTATCTTACGATTTGGAAGTATAAATCCTTGAATATTGATAATCAGAGTTATGTCATTCATATTTATTAGAAAGTGTTTTTTATAAATACTTTTCAAAAAGCTTTCTTTTCAACTTGTACAACCGTCTTTTTCCAAGTATTACATTTATGACACGAGGTCATATTCATTGGAAATCCCTTCCTTATCTAAAGTTAGAAAAATACCCATATTATCAGTTTTCTTTTTACATTTGTCGCACCAACGTCTATTATCCATATTTATTAGAAAATGTTTTTTATAAATGAATATAGAAGATTTAAAATATAGAAGATATAAAAAAGTGGAAGATATAAAATATAAGAGATATAAAATTAATATCCAAAAGGTACAGTATTGTAATCATCTAAAATTCTTCTTTTTTCAAACCCAAACATGTATCTTTATTTGTCTTAATACTTGAAATATTTCAATCTTTTTCGATTTTAAATTGATTGATTTCTACATCTAAACAATCTTTTTCACCAGTTATTATTTTCATTCTATTATCAAAATCTAATACAGTTTCACTCTGGTATGACATTTTAAATCCTTTAACTTTTCCAGGTGCAGAATTATCATTCAATATATAACCATAATCTTTAGAAGCTCCAGCTAACCAAGATGCTATGTATTTATCATTTTCCAATTCATTTGTCCATTCTGCTAACATGCATCCTGTTTCAATTTTAATAGTTCCATCGTCTATATACACTACACTATCTGTATCATAATAAAGTACTTTATCTCCTAATTTATCTAACATTTCATATAATCTAATTCTAGCTGAACTAGCTGTAAAAGCGGCTATATATACGTTGGTTATGAAGTTATTTTTTTCAAATTTATCTTTCATTTTATAAGTCATTTCAACACAATCGTCATTCAAAAAATTCATATTTATATCTTTAATAGTGTCATCTGAAATAATTCTGTAAAAATCTTCAATTTCTATTACGTATTCTGTTTGTTTCATATTATTTCTTTGTCCAAACTTACCCCATAAAGAATTTAAACATATCTTGGCTATAAATCTCAAACCTGGATTGTCTTCAATTTCATCTAATTTTATACTCAATTTTTCTTTAACTACTCTTCTGTATTCTTTCTCATTTTTGAAATTGTTTTCCCATTTATCACATGTTTCCAGTTTTATCTTTAAGAACATTTTAACATATTTTTTAAAGAGTTTGTTTGATTTATTTTCAAAATGCCAAACTTCATAGATATTTAAAATCTCATATCCTTTTTTAATTGCTAGCTTCATTTCATCAGTTGTCCAAGTTCCTATTATACATCTATCCTCATCACTATGTTTACATTCAGAATTTCTTATCTTGTAACAGATATCAAATTTTTTCTTCTCCAAGACTGTTTTGAAATGATTACATTTTATTGTTTCTGAACAATTTCTACAAAATGAAAATATTAACTTTTCTGCTTTATAAGGTAGTACAGGATGATATAATTTTTTAGGTGGAAGTACTTTACATTTAATTAATCCATACCAATTGTGATTATAATTTTTAGAATTATATATCTTTTTTAGATGTTTAATGGGATAATAATCAAAGTAATTTACAGTCGGATACAGTGAACATACATCGATATATCTACCTTTTCCGTTATCTTTCATTTCATATTTTAATTAGGTAGGTTCACATCTTCCTCCAAAAAATGCATCTCTGGGATTTAAACGTTCTACAAAATCTCTTTTCCATTCTTTTTTCATGTATTTTTTCATATCTTTATTATTGTCAAAATCACATTCCCATATTCTTATTAATCCATATCCTTCTTTTATTATTTTCTTATTTATCTTCTTAGTTCTTTTATATAAATCTTCCATGAGCATCTGATTTATAGTATTTACTTGTGTTTTAGTATAACATTTAGGACATCCATGCCCGAAGCAACCTTGAAATTGAAATACTGTATTCTTATGAAACCCATCTACTTTATAATATTTCTTACCCAATTTGATTTTTTTCTCTCCATTCAAAGCATGACGAATATTAATGTTTTCAGTTTTAGATATATAATCTAACCGAGCAATTGATTTTTTATTATATTGATCTTTTTGAATTTTATCTTCATCAATAGCTATTGTTTTCTCTTTTAAGAATTTATCTCTGTAAATAGCTATACATAAACCAGCTAAAGTTACATACTTAAAAGGATCAACATTCACAGTTTTTAAAAATAATCTTCTTAATTCTAGACAACCTTTTCTTAAAATATCTACATCAGATCTACAGTATTTGATAAATTATTTTTGAAAATCAAATGTTTCATGTTTCACAGAACCATACCATTTATCAAATTTTTTTCTGTCTTCTTTAACCATATAATCATATCCATAGTAATATTTTTTGAGGATATTTACCTATATATTTTTGATTCTTTTCTTTATTTGAAAGATGAGGAAAATAACCTTTAGCTAATTCATTCAAACCAAATGTTTTTTGAAATTTTTTAAGTGGACGCATTGTAAAATTAATAGAGTCTATAAATCTTATGTTATATCCTTCTACTTTCATATATGCTAACTTACTTCCCTGATAAATTGTAAATATCTTTATATGATTTTTGAAACAATATTTAGCTAAAAACTGAAAATCAAAACCTTTTCCATAATGAGCTATTACAGTATATCCAAAATGATGATCTTTAAATAACCTTTCACAAAATTAATTTTCATTTCTAAATTTTGTTTCACATCCATTAAAATCACGGCATATAACCAGATTTACTTCATGAATTCCACTATCTTGCATAGTTTCCACATCAAAAAATAAGTATTTTTCAGTATAATCATATTTACATTTAACACACCAATCTTTCTTATTGCTTATATTTTCAACGCAATTATCTTTACAAATACCTCCTTTACTATCTTTACATTGCATAAAACATTCATGACCTCTTGTCTCAAATTTTCTACAATTCCAGCATTCATATTCACCACATATATGCTTATCAGGTTTTCTATGGTACCA